TTTAGGTAAGGAACTGAATCCTTTGCATAATTTATTGAATTTTTACCATAATTGCATAGGATATTAGGTTTCCAGTTTATAGATAAGGGAACTGAAGCTCATAGAAGATTAGAAACTAGCCTAAGATTGTACATTCAGTGGGATTTGAAATCAAATCTGACTCCAAAGAACTTACTGTTATTCATGCAGGTTTAACATTTTTTCATGGCACCACAGGAGCTTGCAGTATTAGAGAGGCTCAGAACCCACAAACCCAAAGACTCCAGGTCCAGGCAGGCCCAGATCAGTGGCCCGTGAGTGAGACAAACAGAGGGTCATGGAGATGCAGAGAGGGATATCTGGCTGCATAATCAGGGAGGGAGATCTGATGTGAACTTGATGTCAGATTTTAGGAATCAGCAACTGAGGCTAGAGCTTTTCCCTAAAGCCAAAGCACGTGGGTGCAGTGGCAAGGAGGAAGGGTAGGGACAGATGGGCTGTCTGGAGTAGACATGGGGAAGCTTCTGACACGGGCAGTACTGGACTAGGTTGCCCAGATAAGGTTTGCTGACTCATATTTCATGGTTAATCTCTTTGCATTTATCTATTTTATAGCATTAACACTTTTGTGTCATTGATTTTCACTTGTGAGTTTGCCTATTTGTTTGAAATCTCTTCATTTCCTATTAGTATTTGCACTCCACTGAGCACTTGTGAGGGTTTTCACTTCATACTCATCAAAGAGCCAAATGAGGAGGGGAGACGCCCTAACTGCAGGGCTAAGGTAGCAGGCTTCAGAGGCAGTGACCAAGCAGGATCCCTGGTAGACCACTCCGTCTCCTCTACTACCTGGAAGTAGAACAAGGCTGGATCTCACCCCTCTACTACCTGCATTTGACTAACTGTGGAGTCATCTGACTAACTATGGAGTCAAAACATGTATCTGACAAATAAGTGCATTTCATGATCCTAGATTGGATTCTGGGTTGGAAAAAATTACTGAAAAGTACATTGGCAAAATTTGAATGTAGACTATATATTATATAATAGTTTGTTATCAATGCTAAATTTTTCACATTTGTTAATCATACTGTAGTTATATAAAAGGATCCTTGTTCTTAAAAGACAGATGTTGAAGTATCTGGAGTTAAGGAGCATGATGTCGACAACCTACTCTTAAACGGTTAGGGAGAAACAATAATCATGTGTGTATGAGTGCAGATTCTCTCTCTCTCTCTCTCTCTCTCTCTCTCTCTCTCTCTATCTATCTATATATCTATCTATCCATCCATCCATCTATTCAACAATCTAGAGAGAAATAAAACAAATGAGGTAAAATACTAACAATTGGTAAATCTAGGTAAAATCTATGTAAATGTTCACTGTACTATTCTTGCAGCTTTTATGAAAGTTTGATTTAAAAAAAAAAGTTAAAAATTTCTCTAGAATTCTTCTGCTTCTGGCCAAAATGGAATGATAGGTTCAGATTTGCCCTCTTGCCTGAATCAACAACAACAACAAACACAATGAAGATATATGAAAGAATGGTTTTCAAGACATGGACATCAGGTAACAAATGACAGTGATTCCTGGGAGGTGAGGAGAATTTTACAACTGCTCTAGCTTACAGCCCTTAAGAAGTTCCAAGGCCGCAGTTCAGGAAGGTGGAACCCAGGTGAAACCTGGAAAACTCTCTTGGGAAACAGAGATAAGAGTCTGGGGAGAACAAAGCAACTAGAGTTTGCAGGATAGATGATGGAGAGAAGAGAGGTGCACAGAGAGAGCCCAGGAGATACTCAGGGGTCTCCTCAAGTTCGGTTCAGCTAAGTACCAATCAGCACACGTGTGTCAGGAAACCACCTGAGAGGATTGGAAGTGACACTATTCAGTGCTCACACAGGGCTGAGAACAGTGCCAGTTCCCACCAGCTAGATTGGAAAGCCCTATGATTCATGGGGCACTCAGTAGCGTGTACAGAAGGGCCTTGCCTCAGAAGTGGGCAATAAATAGCCCTAGATTAAACACTTCTCAGCACCCTTGAAAAAAATCATAAAATCAAAACCCGAGGATCCAACTGTTTCCAAGTAGTTTAGGTTATCCCAGAACAAAATTCAAAAATATATATAGGAATCCAAAAATATTTAATGCCCAACAAAGTACATTTACAATGTCTAGCATCTAAGCACAAATTACCAGTTATGTGAAGAAGTGGAAAAATATGACCCATATAAAAAAGGAGCCTAGGCTTTTGTCCTCACCCAGCTGTAATGAGGCACCCCGGCCCTTCCTTGCTGGGGTGATGTGCCCTGTAATGACCTTCTCCTCAATGATTATATCAGCGAAGGCCATATGGGGACCTGGAACTCTCACCCTCACCTAACTGTATGAAACACCCTCCCCCACTAGAGTGTCCATGGAGGCCAAGTGAGGACTGTGGACTTATGCAACCGCCTGGCAATTATGAAGCAGCAACTCCCTTTCCCTACTGGCACAGTGTCAGACAGGGCCTGCTAAAACAGGAAATTTAAATAAGATCTAACACCTTATCATATAATTTCCCCAAAGTCCAGGAATTAATAGAAATCATGTCAAGAACCAGGAAGGTCTCCACTTGAATGAGAAAAGACAACAGACGCCAATGTTGAGATGACAGATGTTGACAAAAATTTCAAAGAAATTATTAAAGAAATGCTTCAAGGAGTAGTTATAAACATGCTTAAAGCAAACTAAAAAATAGAATGTCTTGGCAGGAAAACACAAGATATGAAGAGGAGCAAAATAAGCCGGGTGCAGTGGCTCACCCCATTAATACCAGCACTTGGCGGGGCCAAGGTAGAAAAATCATTTGAGCCCAGGAGTTCGAGATCAGCCAGGGCAACATGACAAATTCCTGTCTCTACAAAAAATATAAAAAAAGCTGGTGCGGTGGTGTGTGCCTGTAGTCCCAGGTACTCAGGAGGATAAGGTGGGTGGTTGGCTTGAGCCCAGGAGGCAGAGGTTGCAGTGAGCTGTGATTGCATCATTCAAGAAGCTAATGAGCCCCAAACAGAATAAACTGAAAAGAAATCCACACCAAGGCACATCATAATCAAACTTCTGTAAAACTAAGACAAGACAGAATGAGAGAAATGACACCTTGCACAGAGGGGGAAAATAATTTGAATGACAGACATTTCTCATCAGAAACGCTGAAGGTCAGAAGGAAGCATCACACATTTTTCAAGTCCTGAATGAAAAGAACTGTCAGCCTAGAATTCTATGTTCAGTGAAAATGTCATTCAGGAATAAAGGGAAGATTGCCTAGCTGTATTAAAAGGTTATAATTTAGCCTAATGTAATTTTCTAGGCAGTTTTAGTCAAGTTTTTGCTACTCTCTGATGTTCAAGATAGAAAAGTGATTTTATAAGCAAGCTGAATACAAAATAATAGAAGTAGTTTGTAAAGCCAGTATATATTATGTGTCTACATTGCACGTTAAAGCATTCCATTATAATATTCAATTACACTATGTAATCTACTGTTTTTGAACGATTTTGTTCAGCATTTGGCTATTTAAAAAAATTTATAAAGAGATTGATTTCTTCCAGTCCTGGAGGCAGGGAAGTCCCAGGTTGAGGGGTTCATATCTGGTGAGGGCCTTCTTGCTGTGTCATCCCATGGCAGAAGGTGGAAACATAAGAGAGCATGTGTGTGTATGAGTGAGTGGGTGGAAAAGATAGAGAGAAGTAAGAAGATCAAAATCACCCTTTTATCAGGAACCTTGTTTTATCTGGGAAACATAACAGCATTAATTCATTTATGAACATAGAAGTCTTATGACCTAACCACCTCTTAAAGTCCTACCTCTTAACACGATTGCATTGTGAATAAAGTTTCCGTCACTATTTGGCTCTTAAGTACATTTTTTTGTTGTTTCCATTAAATTATTTTTTCCTAGAACTTGCTTTAATTTTATTCATTCAAAACTTAGAATTTGCTTTCTTTTCTTATATTTATTTCCTTTTTAGGTCATGAAGCTTTTTGAGGCAGAACCAAGCACAATTCTTGGATCTAAATAACTATTTGATTTAAGTTATCTTTGAGCTTTTAATAACTTAATGAACATTCTATGCTAGTCTATGGGAAACTCTTGAGTTTTTCACTTGCTTATATTTTCTTTATCAATTTTGTGTCTTTTGGGTGAGTAAAGGACATAAAGTATGGAATACTATAAGACAGTGAATTAAATCTATTCCTCTGATTTAACCATGAAAAAAGACAATAATAATAAAACAATCTCCCCTCCTCCAAATAGGACAACTATTTGAACAGCTATTTAATCAAAGACAATATATGGTTTGGAGACAAGTACACAAGAAGATGCTCAACATCACTCATTAGGGAAATACAAACTAAGCCACAATGAAATATTACTGGTTACCTATTAGAATGATTCAAACTACAAATACTGACCACATCAAGTGTTGGCAAGGATCTGGAGCAACTAGAAGTTTCATACATTTTCAGTGTAAAGTGGTACGGCCATTTTGGAAAACAGTTTGACAGCTTCTTAAAAACTTAAAGATATACCTACCATGTGATCTAGTCATCCCATGCCTAAATATTTACCTAAGAGAAATTAAAGCACATATCCCTACAAAGAGTTTATATGAATGCTCATAGACACTTTATTTGTAATAGTAAAAAACCTGGAAACAACCCAAACGTCCATCAATGGATGAATGAACATCTATGTGATGGAATACTACTTAGCAATGAAAAAGAATGAAGTATTGACACATATAGCAACATGGATGAATCTCAAAATGATCGAGGTGAGTAAAGAAGCCAGACATAAAACAGTACATATTGTAAGCTTCCATTTATAGAAAATTCTATAAAATTTAACATAATTTATAGTGATAGAAATCAGATCAGTGGTTGCCAGGCGTGATGAGCTGAACTTGCAGGTCCCTTCAGGATGTGGGATTCAGGGAGGGTGATCTGTGAATTTCTTTCTCATTCATAGTATGTTCTTTCTCTCTCCTCCTTCCTGTCTTTCTTTCCCTGTGAATCCCTCCTTCCCTTTCTTGCTCTCTGGGTCCTTCTCCCTGGTGGGGCCAGGCTCCCTCTCCCAGGTGTTCATGGTTCCTTGAGCAGCCTTTCTCTGAGGGTCATCCATGGACCCCCTGCATTAGGAGGGATCCTGTCAACCCTGAAGGTTCTAGGTCCCACTTTAGACCTGAAGAATCAGAATCTGCTTTTCTTTTCTTTTCTTTCTTTCTTTGTTTTTGCAGATGGAGTATTGCTCTGTTGCCCAGGCTGGAGTGCAATGGTGCGATCTCAGCTCACTGCAACCTCCACTTCCTGGGCTCAAGTGATCCTCCTACCTCAGCCTCCTGAGTAGCTGGGACCATGGGCACCCACCACCATGCCTGGCTAATTTTGGTATTTTTAGTAGAGATAGGTTTCACCATGTTGCCCAGGCTGGTCTTGAACTTCTGAGCTCAGGCAATCTGCCCGCCTCAGCCTCTCAAAGTGCTAGGATTACAGGCATGAGCCACTGTGCCCAGCCTCAGAATCTGCATTTCAACAAGTTCTTCTGATGGTTCCTCTGCATCTGGGAGTCGAGAAGTTCTTCCTGTATGGCCTCTGAAGTTGCTTTGAATCCCATGTCAGAATCCCAACCCACTCCTCTGCGTTTTCTAGTCATAGCTACTTTTCCTTAAGTGCCACATTGGCATAAAGGTGTTCGGTGTTTTACTATCTTTCCTGCAGGTATTCAGCATATGATCAGTGGTTTCTAGGGTCTGCCATGGGGCTTACTAATTATTTGGAACCAAATATACCAGAAAACGAGTTTGGAATTATAAAAAATCCCTTAAAAACCCTTTTAAAAAATCTTGGATGGAGCAGCTGTGAATAGTCTGGGCCTGCCTGTGCAATTATTGCTGAAATTACTGGGGCTGTTGAGCATTTGGAAATCAAATCCCAGAAGTGAATTGGCTGTGCCAGTCAGTCATAAAAGGACCTGGCCCTGGGAGGTTTGATGGGTAGGGGCAAATGGGGACATGGGAAGAGGGCGGAAGGCTTCAGGACTGCATGAACTGAGTGGAAATATTTGGCCTTTGGGGACAGGAGCATGCAATGGCAGCTGTTCCCTGTGACCTGGACATCTGGGACTTGCTGAGGGAGAGACGTGGTCTTGGCCTAGCTGACCACCATCGAAACCACTCATCAAAGGCGTGAATGCAGTTTGCTGGGAAGATGAGTGCCAGTCTGTCTGGTGGTCACATGGAGGGCTTTGCTGATCTCTGACACTGGATATTTCCCCTTGCCCTGGTGCCAGGGACTAGGGGAGAGATCACTCTGGGCTTGAGTCAGGGCCAGGGATGCCAGGCACAGCCAAAGAAGATGACTCTGGTACAAACCCAGTCTATGAAGTGGAAAACAAAGAGAAGGAATCAAGCTGGTTCACGTAGGAAGCATGCACATACTCACCCCATCCATTGTTCCGCATCAGGCACCTCCCCTGAGCTAGCTGCCACTCCTGCTGCCACTCTGCCACTCCTTGGGAGGCAGCACAGGGCAGTGGTTAGAGGCCTTTTTCTCAGTGTTAGACAGGCCTGGCTTCAAGTCCAGGTCTGCTACTTTACTTACTAGCTGTGGGATGCTGATGAGCCCAAGCTTTCTCTTAGCCTGCTTTTTAACCAGTAAAATGAGAATAACTAGAATACCTAGTATATGGAGTTACTGAAGGACTTGAATGCACCAATACATCTAACATGCTTAGCATAGGGCCCTATCATGGTTAGCATTTGGTGAGTGCTAGCTGTTATCATTATTAATATCACTAATCATCAAAGAAAGGTCTTCAATTGGATATTTGGGAAAAATTATGAAATTTATCCCTCCTCTTGATCTACAGATTGGTATACATCTGTTATTGCTTTTTTTTTAAAGTCATCTTGTTTCCTGACTCCTGAAGTAAAAAGTGTTTCTTCTGTGCACTTTTCTTATAGAAAGATAATCGAAAGAACTTTTAGAGAACTGACATGTTAGACACAGTCTTGAGCTTCATAGAGATCACAGTCTGTCGGGGAAGAAAGAGGATGAAAAGAAGCAATTTCACTACAGGGGAGGAACATTTCAAAAGAGGAATGTGGGGTGCTAGGAAGGAGGGAGATGCATGAACTTAACACACCTGCCACTCCTGAGCGACTGGTACTTCCAGCAGCCCCTCCTACTGCCCTCTCCACCCTTCCCTCTAAAAGCAACACCTAATAAGCCATTAATAAGTCATGAAGAAAAGGCTCTGAGTATATTTCTTTTAGTTTCTTGAAATTTTCAGGTCTGATTTTAGGAAGTTGCCGTAACTTGAAAAATTTTAAACACTGCATGGGCATCTAGCAAAGGCTCGTAAAATAAAATGTGTGCTTATCACATTTAGAGGAGTTATAAAGGCAGCTGTGATACAGGAAAAAGAGCCCTGGTCTTGGAGAGTGGAGCTGTGTGTGTGCCCTGGTTCCACATGCTGTAAGATGATATTAGGTGTGGCACTAAACTGCTATGAGCCTCAGCTTCTTCATCTCTAAACTGGGGATGAGGACACCTACCGTCCAAGGTGGTAGAAGGATTACATATGATTGTACTAGATACAAAAGTAAAACAATGAACAAACAGATGAAGATTGTTTATCCTGGAGTTTAAAACCCAGAATCTTCCAAATAACAGAATGTTGAAAATAGTAAAGACTAGCTAAGGTTTAAAAGACTAGCATTTAATGAATCCTTACTATGTCTAAGCATAGTAGACATTTTATTTCATTTAATTTTCATAAATAATCTGTGAGATAGATATGCTCATCATCTGCATATTACAGGTGAGAAAACTGAGGCACAGAAAAGTGAAGTCATTCGTCCATATTCCCAAACTAGCTAGTATCAAAGCCTGATGTTTTGACACTGGATGCTTTGAGCTTAGAGCACGTTTATTATTATTATTATTATTATTATTATTGCTGGACATTTTGAGCTTAGAGCACATCCTCTTTTATGTTATATTCCTGTGTCATGTGTATTATCTCATTTAAAATGCACAATCCTATGTGGCCTGTATATCATTACCATTCGGTATGCGAGGAGACTAAGGCACAGAAAGAATAACTTTCTCAAGGTCACCAAGTAAGTAAGTTGGAGTCAAGTTCAAACTCAGGCAGCCTGACCCCAGGGCAATGCTCTTAACCGTAATGCTAATGGAATTATTCTAAAATGATTTTAAAAACAATCGTTCATTTTCAAAATCATGGTATTGGAATGCCTGAAAAAAGGCTTGCTATGGCACAGAGTACGCTGTAATGGGGTAACCCCCAGGCTAGGAATGACCCAAATATGATCACTGGTCATGGCACAAGGCCCTTTCTGAGCAATACAGGCAGGGCAGAGCCTGCCATGATGGAAATCACAGTAACATCATGGAGGTGGCGCTGGTTAAAAAAAAAAAAAAAAAAAGCTCTACCCGATTGCATGGATTACAAGCTGTGGTGGCGAACATCTGTTTTATAGCCCTAAATTGCATTCGTGCAAATATTTATCATCCATCCCCTGCCAAATACACAAAATGGAAAAACAAACCAAAGGGAAACCTCGAGAGGATGTGGAGTGTTGCTAATTGTTGTGCTCTTTGGGCTTAATATATCCAAATCTTAGTAATTCCAGGATTTCAAGTAATCTGAAATACTCGCTAACCTGTCCTGAAAGCCCTCTTCCAGCCGTGGGCCACCCAACTTTGGGTTCGCTCAATTTCCCCTTTCCCCTGCAGGTGGCAGCACGAGTGCCGATCGCTGTCGGGCGAGGGTGCTCAGGAGTGGGAGCCCAATAGAGTAATTTAGGAGTCGAGGTGAGATTGGGGTTAGACACAGAAATAAGATCACATGAACTCCGACTTCGGATGGAACACGTCATCCATTAAATCCTCGAGCCGAGCTCAACTGGAAACTCCACCTGAGCAGGCGTCATGGGTCCTGGAGCCCGGCGGCGCAGGGCCGCCCTGGGCGGGGCGGGCGCAGTGCGGTTTGCCCGCCTGTGCTGGAGCCTCCGCGGGCCCGAGGCGGGCAGGGTCTGCTGCGGTTTCCCGCGTGGGTATCCGTTCCTTCGCGGCCGTACTGCCGGCGCCAGGCCCGGCCCACGGCCTTACAGGGCCACCTTCGGCCACCGAGGACCCGAGCCCGCCGGCCGCGCTCTCGCGCTCTCCTGCCCCGGAACTGCGAGGCCTGCGGGGCACCGCTAAGGGGGGGATGCCTGTGGGCTCCACCAAGCTGACTTTCCCGTACTGCGGGCCCCTGAAGGAGCAGAGAAATCGACCTGGGCCTGCGGCCGAGGGACAGGAGGCTTCTTTAGTCCTGACAGGGTGCGGGTTCTTTTGTTCCTTTCCTTTCCTGCGCAGGGACCTGTCCTCCTCCGTCTCGTTCCATGCCTTCTCTCCTCCTCTTGAAGGATGCTAATCACATTCAAGCCAAAATATTAGACACTTTTCTGTGGCCTTCCTCAGGAATGCTTGCATTTGTTAAGAAGGGAACTGGATACAACTTCATAGATATAAGGGTGTAATTTCAGACATGTGCTTTTCTTTCTAGGACTCTTTAAATTTCACTTCCTAACTCACAAAATTGGCTCATGCCTTACAACTATCTGTGGCTGAGAGGCAAGTCGAACTTCCTGGTAAACCTTCTTCTCTTAGGTGAAGCATAGAGCTGTGGCCTTATTAACCCGAACAGCAATTGGGAGCCTCAAAATAGAAAAAGCAAAACTCGGAAACATTTATTTATTTATGTATTTGCGTATTTATTTATTATTAAGACAGAGTCTCACTCCATCACCCAAGCCAGAGTGCAGGGGCATACTCTTGGCTCACTGCAACCTCCACCTCTCCGGTTCAAGCGATTCTCCTGCTTCAGTCTCCCGAGTAGCTGGGACTACAGGCACCTGCCACCATGCCTACCTAGTTTTTTGTTTTTTTGTTTTGTATTTTTAGTAGAGATAGGGTTTCACCATGTTGGCCAGGCTGGTCTTGAACTCCTCGCCTCAAGTGATCCGCCCACCTCGGTCTCCCAAAGTGCTGGGATTACAGGTGTGAGCCACCATGCCTGGCCAGAAACTTCTTTTTTTTTTTTGAGACGGAGTTTCGCTCCTGTTACCCAGGCTGGAGTGCAATGGCGCGATCTCGGCTCACCACAACCTCCGCCTCCTGGGTTCAGGCAATTCTCCTGCCTCAGCCTCCTGAGTTGCTGGGATTACAGGCACGCGCCACCATGCCCAGCTAATGTTTTGTATTTTTAGTAGAGACGGGGTTTCACCATGTTGACCAGGATGGTCTCGATCTCTTGACCTCGTGATCCACCCGCCTCGGCCTCCCAAAGTGCTGGGATTACAGGCGTGAGCCACCGCGCCCGGCCTCAGAAACTTCTTTAATCAACGCTGATTCTCCAGGAATAGTAGTTGCTTTTATTTAGTTACAGGCTTGGGAGACACTCATTACTCATATGGTCTTCAATAGGTAAGTATTAATCCCTGGTGTTTATAGCCATGATAATTACCACTTGTGAACGATGTAGCTGGTGTCCATTGTTTTCCACAGGTACTCCAAGACTACGAGTCCTTAACTAAATAGATGACACACTCCTCTTAGTTTACCCTCCGTCCCCTTAGTCCCCCACCTCTATGAAAGCAGGTATAATTATTCTCCCGTAAAATTATTTTTCCTCCTACTTTCCTGACTGAATTCAACTGCCTTTCTGTCTACTCAACCTTCTGGTGAAGACTTCTGCCTCTACCCTTCCCGATCTCTCCTAATTCCTATAGACTCCTCCCTAGCTTGACCACCTGGGAACGACTGTCTGTCTAGATTATACATTATGAAATTTGATTATAGTTGATTAAACACATTGTTAAATGTTGCCCTGACTTGTTTTCATTCTACTTTCTGAAAGTATAATCTGAACTAGGCTGTAAGCTTTGAGATAGCGAGAACCATATTCATTAATTCTACACTTAATAAGATGTATTAAAAAGAGACAATAGATATTTGATAGATGAGTATGAAGATGAAACTTTATTGATGAGAATCAGGAAATGTCATCTACTCAATCTTTCCATTAAAATTTCTTGAGCTAGAACTTTGTGCCAGATCCTGTGCTGTAGAGGAAATTAAACATGAGGAAGACATGGTCCTGCCCTGATTTGTAGGAGATAAAGCGTTTACACAGCTCATGAGAAGGCGGTATAAATGCCTCAGAGTGCTGGAAGCAGAGCCCTACCATTCAGAGGAGCAAGAAGAGAGCGCTTGTGGCTGGGGGTCCAGGAAAAGTTCAGAGAAAGCAGCATCTGAGTAGGGCCTTGGAGTCTAGGAGGTGCTTTCAGAAGGCAAAGATATTGTCTCAAAGTTAGGCAGAGGAAACAGTAGGAGCAAAATTAAGAGGAGGGGAAATAAGCCGTAAAATTTGTATGGGAAAACCAAGGAATTCAGTTTGACTACAGTGATGTAATAAAAGGAATAAGAGATATTTATCAGGAACCTACTGTTTGCTGGATATTATATACTTTACGTATTTTTTATCTTATCCTCACAATCACACATGAGGTAGATGCTGCTAATACTACCATTTTATGGACAGGGAAGCAGAGGCTCAGATGAATTAAATAATTTACCCAAGGCTATAGCACTGTAGGTTGGGATTCAACTCTGGAGCCATGCTATTCCCCCTCCAAGATATGTGTGGGAAGAAGAGAGAAGTAAGATTAGGGAAATTGTTTGGCAGATCCTATTAAATTGTACCTTAAATGTCAGAAGTCGATTTGGTTAAGCAATAGGAAGCCACTGAAGATTATTGAACAGGTAGGTCACCTAACTAAAGTCAAACTTTAGGAAGATTGATTGGTAAGATGGATTGGAGAGAACAGAGACAGGGGAGGAGGAGGAAAGACCAAGCAGGAAGTGAACGCAAATGGGAGATAAAACTGTTGTTGACTTCATTCACAGTCTGAATGCAGCAGTGAGAATCCAAAGTAAGAAACTGTCATGGGAGACATGTCAGAAGTAGATTCTTTAGGGTTTGGTGACTTGGTGAAGTGGAGGGTGAAGGAAAGTGTTGGTAGTGACGCCAAGGCATCAAGCTGAATCCTGAAGAGATGCGGCGCCGTGGTCAGGTGGGAGGAGGTAGGCTGAACTGCTTCCGGATGGCTCCTTTTGGTTGCTTAGTCATGTTGGTGGAAATGCCCTGGACTATATTTTGGTGAACATGTACAACAGACAAGGGAGATGCAGGTCTGGAACACTGGGAAAGGGCTAGGTATGAGGTTATCAGATCTGGGAATCCTTCACAATGAAGCCAAGGGAGAAGGTACCTAAGGAGTGAGAGTAAAGAGAGGAAAAGAAAGAATCTAGATGGAACCTTGAGGAGGGATTTTATTCAGGGAGCAGAAGGAAGACAGGTCACAGACGACAGGAGAACGACCAGTCAGAGAGGAGTGAGACTGCGAGGATATCAGGAAAGCTAATGGGAGAACATTTTAAGGCAGAGGGTAGTCACCAGTGTCAAAATACTATAGAAGTCAAGGAGGATGAGGACTGAATTGCTTTAGCATCTAAGGGGTCACTGGATATAACACTAGGGGATGAGACAAATACATTATGGCTCATGTATGTGACAGAATATTCCATAGCCATTAAAAAGGTTTGCAAAGAACAGGGATTTGGCAGAGTTGAGGTAGTTTATAACATAATGTTAAGTAAAGAAAGAATGAGAAAGAAGGAAAGAAAAAGAAAAAAGTGTAGGAGAGAATACAATTATGTCTATAAAACATCATTTCAAGTTTTTTGTCTGTATACCTTTGAAACACAAACAGAATATTAACATATACTAGGGATTTTCCTTTGTTCTCTGCCAGGCTCTTGTGCTTTTACTGAGTGAAGCAAGGCTATGAGCAGAGCCATGGAATTGGAATTTGGAAGACTGGATTGCTTGAAATTAGAAAGGGCCTGGAGCTACTTGCATGAAGGATCAGGGAAGACCAGGAAGAGGGTAGCAAGGGGTAGGAGTAAAAGTGTTGTAAAGAAGGCAGAACAGCATGGAGAGGGCAGAGTTTGGGAGTCAGTCAGAGAAGGGAAACATTGGCTTGGTTATTGAGACCTGGAGGACACAGATGGATGGAAAGGTCTTTTGTGCTGGTGTTTGCCAGACTTAAACAATGTGATTCTTTGTGCTATGTATTTGAAAAACGCCTAAATTTATTTTTAATGACTTTTTTGAATGTTGAATAGATGATTCACTTTTTTAAAAAGCATTCATAATGGATAATTGCAAAACATACACAAAAGCAGAGAAAATGTTTTAATGTACCTAATTCACTCATCATTTGACTTTAACAATTACTCGTACATGGCAATCTGTTTCACCTATACCCCCACCTATTTCCCCATCCCATTACTTTGAAACAGTCATTCCATCTATAAATATTTCAATAGGTAGATCTAAAATAAATGTTCCTTATGTAAACATAGTACTATTATCACACTTTATAAATAACAATAATTTCTTAGTATTACTAATAAATATTCAGGATTTTCAGATTCCCAATTATTTGTCTTATAACTTTTGTACAGTTTATTTAAATTGGAATGCACACAAAGTTCACCTTGTGCAATTGGTTAATCTACCTTATGAACATCTTTTTAAGTTATAGATTCCCCTTTCATCTCTTTTATTGTTCCTTGAATTTTTTTTTTTTTTTAAGAAATTCACAGTCTGAATTTTGTTGATATTTCCATGGTGGTATTTAACATGTTCTTCTATCCCTTGTATGTCCTGTAAATTAGTAGCTTTATCTCTGGCCAGATTGTGGGTAGTTTTTATTTTCTTCTTTATATCTTTTCATATTTTCTAAGATTTCCACTCTTCATTCCTTAATTTTATATTCAGAATTTATGAAATAAAACAAAGTTTAAGATGACTTTAGTAGAAAGCTGTTTTGAAAGAATGGCTTTAGAAGTTAATTAACAGAAGGCCAGTTGGTGAAATTCTAATAAAGCCTATGGTTTAATTAATAGTATTGTCTGAATGTTAATTTTCTACTTTTGATAAATATCCTGTGGTTATTTAACATGTTAAAATTTGGGGAAGCTGGACAAAGGATATATGGGGACTCTTCACTTTTTTGCAACCTTTTTAAAAAAACTGAAATTTCAAAATAACAAAGTTAGAAAAAAGAAAGAGGAATTTTAGTACAGTGTTAGAGAATGAAACTAGACTAGAAAGTTAAGAACCAAAGAGGAGAAAGAAAAGGTAACCTGTTGGAAACAGTGACCATTAAAAAAATGGAAAGAAATTAGGAAGTAGTTGAAAGAAGTGGTATGATCAATATTATTTTTGATTTTTTTTTGTTTTGTTTTTAAGGCTTGGAAAAAATAAAGAAAGAAAGAAAGAAAGAAAAAAAAAAAAAGGCTGGGTGTGGTGGCTCACATCTGTAATCCAAGCACTTTGGAGGCCAAGGCGGGTGGATCACCTGAGGTCAGGAGTTCAAGACCAGCCTGACCAACATGGTGAAACCCCGTCTTTAAAAAAAAAAAAATGGCTTGGAAAGATTTTAAGGTTTTTGAGCTTGTAGGCAAAATAAGCCAGAGACTTTTGAGGACATAAAAAGTTAATAAAATTATGTATATGCATGTTAAATTCTCT